GTTTGTTAGACTTTAAGAGATAGGAGACATCCACCGAGAATCTCACTTTGAGGTGCTGGTTCTGGGACAACCGGCTCAGAAATATCCAGCGCTTTGGGGCTGGCGCCCAGTCGCTGAAAGAGCCTATTGATATCGTCGGGTCGAATCAGGGACTTTATGCGTTCAGCAGTAGCATGCTGGCAAGGCCATCTAGTAAGTCATACATAATCGACAAAATAAACGGATGGCTCTACACACCTTGAAAAGCCTACAATATGCATGCCTCAAGCTCTCCCGAGGCTCGCAAGGCACTTGAACATGGTGAGCATTACGGACGAATCCACCACAAATAAATACTGACCCGAATGAAAGATCCAAGATATGAGCTCATCAGAAAGATACGCTCTGGATAGAGCGAATTCAAGAGCGCCAGAGTGGAAGGCTCGCTCTCTCGATTCCGGTTCTATGTTCTAGTCAGGACCACTAGAAACTGAGCCAGAAGCCAAAGCCAGATGAATTACAAACCTCGCAGTACCGCCAAATATGTCCCCGGAGCTATAGACTCTCGCGGGAATTCCAGCGCAGGCAGAGCTTTTGCCTCGTAGTTAAAAAATGACCAGAATTTCTCTATGTCGAGCGCCTCTGTTCTTCTGACGGCATCAAGTAGACGCTGTAATCCTAGCTCATCATCCTGATCACCGAGTGCCGATGTCAACATTCCTTCGTTCAAATGCTTACTAGGAGGATTGCTGAGTTTTGAAGGACTCTCATCCTCGCGCACAGCTTTTAATCTTGCAACGGTTGCCTCGGTTTCGTTATCACCGACTGCTTGGGTCACAAGATCATCGAGTGAGAATTTGTATTGCGGGACTGAGACTTTCGAGGAGTTGGGATTCGAAGACTTCTTCGTATCTTTGAGCCTTTGCGAACGCAACGCCATCCCTGAGTCGCCAATATTGTTCTCGGTTTCTCTCGTTTCGCTTCCTGCCGTTGCTTTGGGTTTCATGAACATCAACAGAGGATCTTCTAGTTGCTCAAAAGATGCTACCGAGTCTGTATCCTCTCCATCAGAGCTAATGACGACTTCCTTCCCGTTCTTGAAGATCCGCTGGGATGAATTGAAACTTAGTCCTGAAGACGGGTCGCCGACAACAGTCCCGTTACTGCTTTGGAAACTCTGCTGAGGCGTGGGCTTTGGAGAGGTGTCCTGTACCGATGATAGTAAAGACTCTTTCAGTTGCGAAGCTGGTCCATCTGGGGTTTGTGGAGAGTCACCGTTTTCTAGGAACGATGACGAGAGCTCGCTGAGGGGTGAAGGCTGAGGTGCTGCAGTAAGAGCTTCGCTTGGTTTGCTATTGGAGTGAATGTCTTGCTTTGTCAGCGAAAAAGCTGGCCGCTTGAAGAAATCCGTAATATTGCGCGGCCGGGACATGTTTTTCATCCACAAACTTCTGTAGATTGACCATCACTTCACGGCCTGCACGCGCAACTGAATATGTCGGCTTATCTGCTCCGCATCGACGCCTGACACGTCTTGAGCACGCGCTGCCCTTCACGAAGTCACATGATGCTGAGTCATCGATATGGCTGTCAATCAATGAACCATTTGCGAAATTTCATGTCAAATGGTTTGGGTCATTGGGGACTCGTTGTTTCGTACGCGGCTAAGGTTGAAGGCTTTTTTGAGACAGCTAGTGACGCATCCTGGTCCTGGATCGAGTATTGTGGTGCATTGCATTGCAAGACAAGCCGTTATCAGACAGGGGTTGAACAATGTCTATTGGAGTGCTTGTGATACTAAATTGGGAAAGGTTCGAAAGGTTCGCCTTTGTGGATGAGCCCTAGGGATAGCAATACTGAGTACATGATCAAGTCGAGTCTTGTATTACAGCGACTAGTATTAAAGGTATCCTCGCCCTGCTGCGTTTCTCAGTTGGCGGTGCACATTCCAGTATCGACTTTAGGCCTCAACGAGTAAGCCGGGACAATGATGACTGCATATATATCATTATGAGAGAAATTATGAGTGCCTGCCTCGCTGTATTGTGCAGTTGGAGAGCTCGCAGGAAAGCTTGATATTGCCAATTTTAGGTTCTCAATCTAGCTGAGGAGTTGGGACTTAGATTTGACGTGGGAGGATGGAGGACCAGCTGCAACACTAGGTACGCTCTAGTCCGTACAGAGTATTGACTTTAGGTTTCTGGCATTCATCCCCTTGATTCACTTCTTATTGCAGGGCTTGCGCAGTAAATAATATTCGGAAGTTAGCCTCTATATGAATGAAGATGGTGAACCTCAGAAAAAGTTAGGTTTACCTGGACCACATATTAGTGTCGATCAAAATAATAGCAACCTGAAGAAAGGTTTCGAATTGACACAAGACTCCTGAGGCAAGTATCCATCTACCATTCCTTTGCAAGTTGCAAAGAAATGAGAGTGCATCTACTTGTTTCTTATGAAGCAGAAAGTATGCACCTTCATGATTGAAAGACTGATTACCTATTAAGGTCAGATGTCCCTTCAATCAGCATGGTACTAGAAGGATAACCTAATTAGAAATTACCACTGCCCAAGGGGCCATGTCGATCTGACTTGACCATGCACTTTATTCTCCACAGCAGTTCACGGTTGATCTGACCGACGCGGATCCACTACTGACGCAGTGAGCCCACAGCCCACCTTTGCAAAAGGTGTCAACTATCGGGTATTTTTTCTCCAATCTCGTAAGTATCTGTCGCCTCTCTCTGCGTAGACTCCAGTGTCCTACTTGGGAGATATGGAACGTACTGTAAAATTACAGAGCTAGTGAGGATAAACATACTGACATCTAAGCTGCAGTCCCAAAATTCGTTGGTACCTAGACCGCGTCAATGCGGCATTAGGAGGTTACTCATATGTCCTACAAATAACTCACTAGCCAAAAGTCTAAACGCTTGGCACAATGATCACTTTAGGACTTTTCGAGAACAACATTGATGATCGCCTGGGTACCTCTCGTACTTTCGCCTGGAAAAGGAAAATGATAGGAGAATTGAGATGACAGTCACGACACGCAATAAGGGGCCACAGCCAATCTGACTGAGTTAAATGACGGCTAACCCTTTCAAAATAGAAGCCAGGCCAGCAGCCAAGACTCTTGAAAAGGAGAGGGATATCGGGGGTACAAAGCGAAGCAACACACCCAAGACCTTAAGGGGTATCTCTATTATTAATTGTTCATGGAAGGATCAAAGCAAACAATCTACAATATTGATCTGAATCCTGTGTCCATGCGTTATGCATTATCGAGATATTCGGATAGATAAGTATACACTATCTACATACTATGTAGGTGCTCATGGCTTTATGTCTTGCAGTTAACAGGCGCGTAAAAATAAAAATACTCGTGTAAGTTGTAATTCCGTCCTCCGCGATGTTTTCGAAATATGGACAGTAATGTGGACCGGATGCCATAGGCATCTGCCATTTGTGCCGTCCCGACGGCTTTAGCCTGTTTCAAACTCCATACTCCGAGAAGCGCCCGCCCTTTGGATATTCATGTCGGACGTAAGCGCTAAGACTACTCGTAATATATCAATATTAATACGACAGAACACAACAATACCCATATCAATAACAGCGTTGAGAATACTTGCCCTCAAGATCTCGTGGCCAAAATGATCGAGATGATCGAAACCACATTGGCATAATGGCATGCCACAGTACGGAGTACATGCATGCCGTGTCTTCCGACGACAATCCGGCTGCCCTGCCGCAGCCTGAAATCCCCAGTTGAGGTAGGGTAGGGTCAGGTAGGGTAGAGACGAGGAGCCAGTTATGAGTACTAAAGTCGCCTTCGATGACTCTGCAATCTGTCCAGATCTAAGGACCTACAACATCCTACTCCGATCCGAACTTCGGATTAGATTCGGTGGTAGCTCCTATATCCGTTGTTGCGAGGTAAGACTGATCTGTGATTATAAAGCGCATTTAAACTCTTCGCCATCCCGACAAGCCGGAAATCCGTACCAAATATCTATCTTCGCCGCCACCATTAGAAAATTTTTGAAGGGAACCAGATAAATGACTCTTGACTCTGCAGTCTACAGCGAGGCTGGAAAGGCCTCGAGCTTATGCACGGATTGGCCTGTACGTCAGCGCTGTAATTTACCGTACGGTAATTGTGAAGGAAATAATGAAATCGCGTAGAAGCTATGCAGGACTAAGATATGGAGAATGGTGCCTACCTAAATATCTCTAAAGCTCATGCATGGAAACCTGCCTCCAGTGCTCAGTACAAAATTTATAGAGGAGAACATCCTGAGTAATAATGACCAAAATCTCCTGCCTTCTCTATCAATAGAGAAATCTGGCCTACTTTGCTCTGTCCCTAAAGGTGTCTTAGGTAGCTGTGTTGTATGCTGACGAAGCGGCAATTATGCCCAGCCTTGCGTTCCGCCTGAGGTGGTGAACTATGTATCGACCAGTTCCTCCGTATTCCGTAATACCATACCTACACTTCCCCCGTCTCCCGAGGAGAGATTGCCGGCTACCCAGAAACTGCTGTTTTTCCATCTTACCAATCTGATTAATCTTTCTCTTTTCTTTTGAAAAGGAACAGTTTCTTTCTCTGTGGTTCTTGTCGACTTTACTGTCGATATATGTCATGCTGTTCCTTTTCTGAATGATGGACCATCGCTTCGCTTGATTTCTACCTTCCTCCCCCTCTCCCGACCTTTCTACGTACTGCCGTATCATCCTTGTGTTGGGGGGTCTCTTGGTTCACCTTAGAGTCTCCCGCCTCATCGTGACGTGCTTCAACGATTCACTACCTGCGCACTCAGGCCACAATTAGCAGCCTTGTTAGGTCGTGCTCCGCGTCCATCTCGGATTACTGAGTCGGTGATAACAACGAAAGGCTTGTGGATTGGTTACACTCTTGGGATCCGGCTCATTGGAGCGGATGCTCTCTCTCCGCCGTCCTAATACAACACGGTCACCCCCGGTTTAAGCCCTTCTCACAAGGGCTAGAAGCTCCGTAAATGGCGTCAGATTTCTTGAGTCCGGACTCCATTGACCCCGGGAATGAGGTTCGCGAAGTTAGCAGCAATGTCTCGAAGCCGACGAAACGCCAGAGATGGGCAACACAAAGAGTTGGCGGCGCCGGAGGTGTGCGGAAACGTGTTTCGATCATGGATCGCTTGCATAAGCGTTCTGAAGCGAAGAATGAGAAGCGAGGCAGCAATCTACCTCCCACGGAAGACTCAAATACTCAAAGCGACCAAGATGGCCAAGGCGGCAGTAATCGAAGGGTCTACTTCAACGTACCAATACCCGAATCCGAAAGAGACGAAGACGGTCAAATCAAAGCGTCGTATCCTAGAAACAAGATTCGAACTGCGAAATATACGCCCTTGACGTTCGTCCCGAAAAATATTTGGTTCCAATTTCACAACATAGCCAACATTTATTTCCTTTTCATCATTATCCTTGGTGTATGTTCTCCTTCCTGGGTCGCCGAAGCCAGCGCCGGTCGATTGCTCTTCTGGCTAACATGACTGTCTAGTTCTTTTCCATCTTCGGTGTAGATAACCCCGCGCTCAACACAGTCCCCTTGATCGTCATCGTGGTCGTGACAGCTATCAAAGACGCCGTCGAAGATTGGCGCCGTACCATCCTAGACAATGAGTTGAACAATTCCCCCGTTTATCGCCTAGTCGAGTGGAACAATGTGAACTCAACTGAGGACAAAATTTCTCTCTGGCGTCGAATCAAGAAAGCGTGTACCCGTGCCACTATCTACACATACCGATGGATCAGGCGTCTGGTGCAGAAAAACAAGGATGCACCGGAACCGTTTCAAGATGAACGGCGCGCCTCAATTTTGACGACTGTAACCCCGCGAGCGTCTATGTATTCACAACGAGGTGATCATGGTATGGAAGAGGACGCAATTCAGATGACTCCTGTTCCATCGCCCTCTCCAGAGGCTCGCGCAGATTGGCCACTATCTGCTGGTGATTCGGACCAATTCCTTCATCCAGACAAGGCAAATCGAAGCAGTGTACAAGCACCTACATCACCCGTGACACCGCCGCGAAAAGGTGGTAGTGTGGTGGACCCGTCGAAGCAGACAATTGGCAAGGCTAGATTCAAGCGCGATTATTGGAAAAATATTCAGGTTGGGGATTTTGTTCGACTATACAACGGAGACCCTATTCCCGCGGATATTGTTGTTCTCTCGACTTCAGATCCCGATGGTGCTTGTTACGTGGAGACCAAAAATTTAGATGGCGAGACAAACCTCAAGGTCCGTCAAGCTTTGAATTGTGGTCGTCAGGTTAGGCATGCTAGGGATTGCGAAAGAGCCGAGTTTCTGATCGACAGCGAGGCGCCGCATCCCAACTTGTACGCCTATAATGGCGCACTTCGCTGGGACCAGCGCGATCCCGACTATCCGGATGCACCTCGAAGGGAGATGGTAGAGCCTATCACTATCAGCAATATACTGCTGCGTGGGTGCTCGCTTCGCAACACTGAATGGGCGCTTGGTGTAGTCATTTTCACTGGTGACGAGACCAAGGTTATGCTCAACTCTGGTGTGACGCCGACAAAAAGAGCTCAGCTCGCCAAAGCCCTCAACTGGAATGTCATCTACAATTTTATCCTACTGTTTGCCATGTGTTTCGTCTCCGCAGTTGTCAACGGTGTTGCATGGGGTTCTGATGACAGATCTCTCAACTACTTCGATTTTGGCTCCTACGGAAGCACTCCGGTAGTCACTGCTATCATCACGTTCTGGGTGGCTTTGATCCTGTTCCAGAACTTGGTGCCCATCTCGCTCTACATCTCCCTCGAGATCGTTCGCACGTGTCAGGCTATTTTCATTCACAGCGACGTCTTCATGTATTACGAGAAGCTGGGCATTTCCTGCGTGCCCAAATCCTGGAACATCTCGGATGATGTTGGACAGATCGAATACATCTTCTCTGACAAGACTGGCACTTTGACGCAGAACGTCATGGATTTCAAGAAGTGCACTATCAACGGAGTTTCATATGGCGAGGCCTTCACAGAGGCCCAGATAGGTATGATCAGGCGTGAAGGAGGAGATGCCGACAGGGTGGCCGCGGAAGCACGAGAAAAAATTGCTGCCGATACTACCAAGATGCTCCAAATGCTCCGCCAAATCCATGACAACCCATATCTGCGTGATGAAAATTTGACGTTCATCGCGCCAAAATACGTCGCGGACTTAGAAGGGCAATCTGGTGAAGCTCAAAAGCAAGCCACGGAACATTTTATGCTTGCTCTTGCTTTGTGCCATACAGTAATCACAGAGCAGACGCCTGGCGATCCTCCGCAAATCGAGTTCAAAGCGCAGTCCCCGGATGAGGCCGCTCTGGTGAGCACTGCTCGTGATTGCGGCTTCACTCTTCTCGGAAGATCAGGTGATGACCTCATTCTGAATGTCATGGGCGAGGAGCGAACATATACTGTACTCAATACACTCGAGTTCAATTCCACGAGGAAGCGAATGAGTGCAATCATCCGTATGCCGGATGGCACCATCCGTCTTTTCTGTAAGGGCGCAGACAGCATCATATACTCGCGCTTGGCTCGTGGTAAGCAACAAGAGCTTCGGAAGAAGACAGCTGAACATCTAGAGGAATTTGCGCGTGAAGGATTGCGAACCCTGTGCGTGGCAGAGCGAATCCTCAGTGAAGAGGAGTATCGGACATGGAGCAAAGAACACGACATTGCCGCAGCTGCACTCACAGATCGTGAACAAAAGCTGGAGCAAGTTTCAAGTGAGATTGAGCAGGAGCTCATGCTTATTGGTGGAACAGCCATCGAGGATAAGCTTCAGGATGGCGTTCCAGATACCATCTCTTTGTTGGCCGATGCTGGGATCAAGCTGTGGGTTCTGACTGGTGATAAAGTTGAAACTGCCATCAATATCGGTTTCTCGTGCAACCTTCTGACCAACGACATGGAACTGCTTGTCTTCAACATCCCCGAGGATCAACCGCAGCGAGCCTCTCAAGAGCTTGATGAGCAGTTGCGGAAATTCGGATTAACCGGTTCCGACGAGGAACTCATCGCTGCTCGACAGGATCACAGGCCACCGCCTGCAACGCACGCGGTAGTTATCGATGGCGATACACTCAAGCTCATGCTCTCTGATGAGCTGAAGCAAAGATTTCTCCTGCTTTGCAAGCAGTGCAAGTCCGTGCTATGTTGTCGAGTCAGTCCCGCCCAGAAAGCGGCGGTTGTCCGCTTAGTCAAGAATGGCCTGAATATCATGGCTCTCTCGATTGGAGATGGGGCCAATGATGTCGCGATGATTCAAGAAGCCGACGTTGGGGTTGGTATTATTGGTGAAGAAGGTAGACAGGCGGCCATGTCCTCCGACTATGCTATAGGCCAGTTCAGGTTCCTCCAACGCCTGATCCTTGTGCATGGTCGGTGGTCCTACCGCCGCATGGGCGAGACCATAGCAAACTTCTTCTACAAGGTAAGTGAGGTATCAATTGTCGCGAGCCACACATCATGCTGAACAATTACACAGAATATGGTCTGGACCATTGCTCTCTTCTGGTACTCGCTTTACAATGATTTCGACGGCTCGTACCTCTTCGACTATACATATATTGTTTTGGTCAACGTTGCGTTCACATCTTTGCCCGTCATTTTGATGGGAATTTTTGATCAGGACGTGGACGACAAGGTGTCACTTGCCGTCCCTCAGCTGTATATGAGGGGCATCGAGCGAAAGGAATGGTCGCAGACCAAATTTTGGTATTTATCTCTCATTTCCCGATGTTGCAGCTCCCACTGACGTCACTCAGGCTGTATATGCTCGATGGTTTTTACCAGTCGGTCATATGTTTCTACATGCCATACCTCCTTTTTAGTCCCGCGACTTTCGTTCATTCCAACGGCTTGAATATCAACGACCGAACGCGAATGGGCGTCCTTGTAGCCTCGTGTGCTGTCATTGCTAGCAACACCTATATCCTCCTGAATACCTACCGTTGGGACTGGCTGACAGTTTTGATCAATGTCATCAGCTCTCTTTTAATATTCTTCTGGACCGGGATCTACTCTTCGACAACCGCATCGGCTCAATTCTACAAGGCTGCTCCAGAGGTTTACGGAGCTTTATCCTTCTGGGTGGTTCTCCTTATGACTGTGTTAATATGCCTTCTTCCTCGATTCACCGTCAAAGCCGTGCAGAAGGTGTTCTTTCCTCAAGATGTGGACATCATTCGCGAACAGGTCACGCAAGGTAAATTCAAGTACCTGGACCAGTACGAGGCGTTTGTCCCCCCGAAGGCCGCCGCGACTTCTGGTGGCCTGAGCAACGGATCGGCCACCTCAGATTTGGGTAAACCAATCCAATCCAGTATGAAGCAGGATCCCTTCTCAGACGATCAGCAGATCTACCCGCCGTCGGTCGCTCCGACGATTCACACTCACAATCCGCGGAGCCAGAACGGTAGCAATGGGACGAATTACAGCTTTGACACTACTCAATATCCTCGCCCTCAGTCAGTGCACTCTGCCCAGCGCACCCGTCATTCCTTTGACAGAGTCCGGCCGAGCTACGAGGTAAATTCTGACTTTAATTCGGGCGCGATGCTGAACCGCGTCGATTCTGCGACAGGCATACCGGTGCCGCAGAGCCCCCATAGCCCGCTCAAAAGTCCTCATGACCCACCGACATATCAGGTATAATAAGTACTTCTTCATCCTCGGCCCTATATTGCTGCAATGTTACCCACGACTTTCTAGTCGATTTTAGTTGATGCACCCTATCCGGCGTTGCATTCATTCTATTCGATGCGATTCTTGCTTGTTTATAGCCTGCTGTTTATTCCCCGATAGAAGGCGTTCGGTTATACAGAATTGGCAGGTGGCTCGGCGCACATTTCTTTCCGTTTATTCCCTCTCGAGCTTTCCACACTCTCTACCTTCACAAGGGTTTTTTTTCCTTTGATTTCTTTTATCCTTGCATTCCTCTGGCACTTCGCCAGGTCTAGTTGCATCCCTTCTTGTACAAAAGCATTTTCCTGGATGCAGAGCCCCAACAGCTGGTCTATCGAGTCGATCTCTCTTATGTGTTGGTCTTCTTAATTCCCACCGTCATCTGAAGCCTTTACCTTTGGTTTATCTTCTTTTCTTCCCCCTTTTTCCCCCTTCCCCTTCTTTCTGCACCTTCAGCGCGATGAGAACAGGACGTGGAAACGAGGCATAAGTAGGGGTCGGTCATGCTTTTATGTATTTACCATATCTTCCGAATTATTCGACCATTGAAGCAGCTCAATTAACTTCAGTACTAGTCCACGTTTTTTTGCTCGTACATGAAGCTTTCATGGAGTATAGTTCCAGATATCCCAGCGCTAGTAATTTCAGACGGGTCTTAAAATCTTGTCTCCATAGCTGTCGCTGATATAATCACCTCGTACACCGTCCATCTTCAATCAAGTATTCTCGTAAAATGGAAACGCTGTGAGAGAAGCGCGTCTCGGAGTGATCGTTACAACGCGTAAAGTGGCATACAGACTAAGCCCACCGCCTTTATGTTTCGCCAATCAGAGGAGACTCAGGCTCACTTTTTGTTGTAAAAGAGGTACTTGCCTTCCCTGAGGTTGCGGAGTGTTAGACAATCGTTTGCACCTTTCAAACAACCTCATTTGGCTCTTTATTTGCTGTTCGGTTTGCGAGAAGGCGCAAGTGAATCTCCCTGTTTGCGAGTTATTTGAGACGTCGAAGGGTTCTGTCTCGGCTGTCATTCACATTTTCCTTGCTCTGCACTGATATTGGTGGATTTGTGTCCTACCAGACTTCTTATCTCTTTAAATGTACTGTCGCCACGAGTAACTATGGTGTTGTAGGCAAGTACAAAACACTCGCTGCACCGTTAATTTGCTTCAAATAGAGGCTCCCTGCCGCATAGCAGTACGAGGACCAAAATTTACGATCTTTGAAGAAGTAATGCGCGGACGCCCCTCATCTGCAGCAGCGGACTTGAGTAGTCGGGCGTGAGACCATGGACTTCATGGATATTGTTGGGTGAGTAGTGTCAAACTTTTCTTAATGGATGAAAGGCTTCTGCTCTACATTCTGATGGGCTGGTGGCAATACTGAATGACCTTTGTACTTGCAGGGAGCTGCGAGCACTTCCCGACAATGTTCATATTTTGTGCCCTCGACAACACGATGACGACCATGGACGATACGACGACCCGAACGAGGTAGACGATACGGGAAAAAGCACAGCGGATCTTGTGGCTGAGGCCAACAGTCGACGAGAGAAATTCCTTTCTTGCATGCGCATATTGGCATATAACCAGGAGGGCGTTGAGGAGCTACAGACATGGATCTGGCGCAAATTGGACGATGCGCTCGAAAAATGCGACCTTTGCATCAAACAGTACTACACGGGCAAGATCTGGCTCATAGAGCAGCTTAAGGAGAATTACGATGACGAGGATATCGAGAAGTTCGCGCGCATGCTCGACGATTGGGACGTCAAGAGGATTACGAAGAACCTGGCGACCGCGACCGCGAAGCTGAAAGAAGTTCCGCCTCAAGAGATTGGGCTTCATGTGTTGGATCGAGCATCGCTCTTGTCAATCTTTGAGAGTCTGAGTTGCGAGGCCATGCTTCGCAATGACGCTCTTCTGCAGGAGCACTTCGACGAGCCATTCCGGCTTATCCAAACGAAACGGACTCTCAAAGTCTCGGATTACGTCCCGGCTGTCACTCGATTCTTATTTGATCCCAACCAGAGCCGAAGTTTCTGGGCTATTCACTCCTGGATGCGCTACTCGCGGCCACCGACCGGACTGGAGTTCGACTGGGCGATCAAAGAGGGGCTTCTCGACATGCTGAAGACAGCCTCTCAGCAACCGCCTCAGATAGCTGTTATACAGCGACTTTGGCGTGGCATGCAACTTGTTGTGAAGAGATTGGATAAGGACCAGATCACGCATCATCTGCGGGCACTTGAAATAGACCCGTGCCGTCTTTCTGTGGAACACCTTGGGATTCAATCTCCAGGGCTGCGTTTCCTTCTCAACACAATCCAGATCTTCCTTGAAAAAGCCCCAGGGGACTTTTGGGATGCTATGCAAACGATCTCCCCTCAAGCTATCATCGAGCTCGTTTTCTATAACCCTCAGCTAGAGGCGTTCTTGATGCAAGTCAGCGAAGGGGAGCCTTACGAGAAGTCTGCTCTGAAGGATATGCTCTCATGGGTTGATCCTTTCATGTCGTCTCTGAAGGGCGCGCACCAACCTTCAGCCTGCAGATCTCTCGTCTATCAGCTACTTGATCGACTCCAAAATCCGCGCTTCCCGGACTTGGCTCGGTATCATTGTTTTCATGTTGGACTGGCCAGTTTACTTCAAACACTTCGCAGCTTCACCGACAATGAATCTTCACGAGGCTCGGTGGCGCGTATTGTATTGTCTGAGACAATGGGAGTTGTGAGCGCAAATATCGATACAATTTTGGAGCCTCCCAAGTTCGCAGTGGAGCAAAGACGCCAGGAGGAGATATCATCTTTATGCATGGACGTCATCCGTAATACGTTGGCCCTTGAGTGCCAATCCTTGAAGAGCGATTACGAAGTCATTTTACGACAAAATTCTCTTCAACATGGCGTAAGCACCTACTCGGCTCCCATTTGGGAAGCTGTTGTCAGGAACCTTCACGAGGATAAGCTTGCGCTTTCGACCTCGGCGCTGCTTGGTATACTGCCCCTGGTTGGCTTGGAGACATTTCCAACGAAAGGCGAGTCAAGTCCGGAGAAGACACATTTTAACCTAATCTACGGCCATCTAACTCGACTCTCATGTCAAATCATCGAGCGCCTTGCTGATTTCAAACCTGAGCATCTCAATGAATTGTTCAAGAGTCAAGATACCAGTAGTGCATTAATCTCCGCTCTGTTCGCAGCGGATCTTGACACCTATCAAGCTGCCGTCGATCTCATCAAGAACATGAGCGGTCAGTCAGCTAGAAGGGATGCAATCTCTCATCTTCTACAATCCTTTTTTATAACGACGATGTACGGACTTAGCTGGTCTTTCCGACGGATCTCAAACATGAAGACGTTTGCTTCTGCGCCGAGAATGTTACACACCGGAACAGATATCGTTGATATCCTCTGTGACAGTCAGACAGGAATGCTCAGAACTCGTAAACTTGCTGATCGGAGGGAGATCCTTTCTCTCCAGAAGCTTTGGGAGTATCTCTGGCAAGCATTGAGTACCATTTTCGACGAAACTGAAGCTTGGCATCTCAGGGGTAACGACAAAGCTGTAATGCTGGAATTCTGCAGGGACACTATTCAATTTGCGGACCTGCTTTTCGACCAATACGGTGTTTTCTTGAGTGCTGTTGTCGATGCGGATCCCAGCCAGGAGGCTTCTGCTCGAGAGAATTTTTTGAAGTTCCCAACCACGACGATGAGTGCGATGGTCAAATGGCTCCGCCTGAAAGATGAATATTTGGCAACCACGCTGGTAGGACTGGTAGCAAAGCTGCTTCGCCGCTTAGGGGAGCTTAGCGTGACAACTGTTAAAGATGATGCTCTAAGTTTCATAGAAGGCGTTGCGGTCAAGTCCACCATCAAGACTATTCTGACATTGCGGGAGAAAGCAGAGCTTGTTCGGGCTCTCGAGGCATACTACAAGAAACCTGTCGTGACGGCTTCCACCGCTAGCCTCAAGAAACAGAGTATGATCACCGCGTTTGCCAAACCAGCCGAGGTCTCCGCTACACCCAGTCCAGCCAAAACAACCAGTGAAGATGAGTTCGATGAAGACAATGTACCAGACGATGTTCTGATGCAGCTATCGCGGTCTGTCGAGCTCAATAAACAGAGGCTTGCAGCTGAAGCTAAGAGAAGAGCGGACAAGACAGCCAAAGCCCTCCCTGCAATTCCCAAACCCTCTGCTGCACCCTTGAAACCTAACGTGACAGTTCAGTCCTTCCGTGAAAAACGCGAGAAGGAAAGGGAAGCCAAGAGAAAGCGTGACCTTGCCGAGCTTGCACGTTTGAAGAAGAATCTTCCTGCGCGTGGCGTTGGGGAACAGACTGCTGAACAAGGATCCGGGTTGAGTGGTATCGGAGTCAAAGGCAAAGTTCATAGTACTACCGAGGAAAGTATGATGGTGTCTTCTGGCTCAGAATCCGAGTCGGAAAGCGATGACGAACTCGATAAGGAGCTCTTTGGGCCGAAGGCAAGATCTAAGCCGGACGCAATCAGAGCTTATGAAGAGAGTAAAAAGCTCTCGCTCAAGCAACAAGGCCCTGTTAAAAAGATCAAGCAGGTGCGCTCTGCGAAAGATATGCGGGCACGGCTCGCGCCAGATCTATCTTCTTTGCATCGTACAATCCTCGCTTGGGACTTTTTTGCAAATGGTGATCTTCCACCAAATTCTGGTCGCACTGACTACAGCCTGGTATCCAACACCTTCAGAGACCCGATCGAGTACCAGAAAACATTCGAGCCTCTTCTAATTTTGGAAGCCTGGCAAGGGTTCAACTCAACCAAGGAGGAAGGAACATTTAGACCATTCGAAATCAAGGTTGCCACTCGTCTCTCCGTGGACTCGTTTGTCGAAGTCAGCACAGTTCTACCATCGCTTGAGGTCAAAGACCTCGGTCTCGGCGAAGCCGACATCGTCCTTCTTTCTAAATCGAGCAGGCCAACATCCGATTCT